CGGATAATGCCAGCTCACAAGCCAGGCGCAGGGCTGGTCCTGCCCCACAGGAGCTGCAATCCCAGCCCCACAGACACAAGGCTCCAGCCCAGCCCTGCAGGGACCCCCAGCCCACCCCCCAGGGGTCAAGTGGGCCTGGCTGCCCATGGCCCATTCAGCCCCGAGCCGCTCTGCTGAGATTTTATATGGAAGGGGTCAGTTAGTGCCACTGGCCAAAATGAGGTTGGTGATGGGACCCTACCCTAAGGGCTGGGCCTCATCAAACCCCTTCACCTCAGCCACAGAGCAGCAGAGAGGGGAGACAGTGCAGTCACTAGCAAGCAACATGGGCTGGTGCCTTAGAGGGGAAAGGCCCCAAGTCCCATTCCCTGCCCCCTGAGCCAGCCCGTCGTGTCCCACTGCCCTGAGGCCAGATAGGTGCTATTGCCCCCTAGAGGGGAAAGGCCTCGTATCCCATTCCCTGCCCCCAGAAGCCAGCCCGTCCCACTGCCCTGAGGCCAGAATGGTGTTAGTGCCCCTTAGAGGGGAAGATCCTGTATCCCATTCCCTGCCCCCTGAGCCAGCAATGCCCCTGCCCAGGGGCCAGATCAAAGCAGACACTCTCTGTTCGGGGTGGGGCTGTTGGTACCCTCCAGGCACTGTCCCATGGGAGCACGCCTGGTGCAGAATGACGCTGACAGAGCTCAGGGTCTGCCAAGGAAGCCGTGTGGAGGCAGGAGCGGCCATTCTGCACGGAGGAGGTCCTCGCAGGCACCTCCACAGAGCTGGGGGAGCAGGCAAACAGGAAGGGGACCCCCCAGCCGGAGGTGGAGCCAGGGAGGGAGAAGGAACAGTGATTGCCTCATGCGAATGGCGCGTACTCGCGCTGCCAGGCAGGCGTGGCTGTGCATCTTTACAAGCACCATCTAGCTGCAGTCAGTGCTGGGAGCCGGCCAAGAGATCAAACAGCCACTTGCAGCCAGGCTGAGCCAATGCACCAAAGCCCTTAATAGCAGGGCAGGCTCTGCGGCAGTGCCCAGCGTCTGGGAGTGTCTCTCATAAAGCACATCCCGCTGCCCAGCCCAGGTGCCTCGCTCCCCTGCCTGACATAAACACCTTTGGCCTGCCCCGGCCCGACAGCGGGGAGCATGAGGCCAGGTGTAAACAGCAGCCAGAGGACACGGCCCTGGAGAACCAGGCCCAGGGGGTGCACACAGGACTCATTTCACCCACTGCTGAAGTGCAGCCAGGTGGAACAGGGCAGCTCGTTAAAACAGCCACACAAGCAACACTGAGTGCGGTTTGGGACAGGAAGTGAGGAAGGTTCCCACAGCAAACTACCGGGGCCTTGAGAGATACCCAATGGGCACCACAGCCTGACACCCATGTTGCACAGCACAGTGAGCAGAGCACGGGCTGACCAAGCCCCCATGGCCTAGCAGAGCAGGGACACCAGGGGAACTAGCAAAACAGCCAGTGGCAATGTGGCCCCCTCTCTCTGGCTAACAAGCAGCCCTCCTGCAAAAACTCCCTGGGATCTTTAGCAATTGGCATCTCTTTTGAAAGATGGCACCTCTATGGGCATAGCGCCCCCCGACACCACCCTGGAGTCAGCATTGACTGCAAGACAACAGCGCCCCCTGTTGAGCCTCCGCCCGGCTCCCTGCAGCACAGCGCCCCCTGCTGAGCCCCGGCCCGGCTCCCTGCAGCACAGTGCTCATTAGCACCGCACTGGGGCATTAGGGTTGGCACTGCCTACAAGGGGAGAGCGCCCATGGCTGAGCCCCACGTGCCACTTCCTGAAGCACAGTGCCCAATTTACTGCGCCCAGCACCATATGAAGTAATTGGCACTGGTGCAAACTGCATGTTTAACATGCAATTTTTGGCCCTCACTTTCCCCTGGCATCAGTGGCTCTGCAAGGGGTCACTGATGAACCATTCACCCAACGAGCTGGGCCCCACGACGCGTGCAAAATTGGCAGCCCCAGGGGGTTCGGCTGTCAGTGCCTGCCCTGTGCTGCCATCTAGCTGGTCTGCCCACACTCCCCGTGTGATGTCCCTGCTCCCCAGCCTCTGACGAGGAGGAGCAATTAGCCTGCAGCCACTTCACTGAATCCAGAGGAGGGTTTGGCAGCAGTTGGGCTTGGGCTGGCTGCTCAGTCCCAGCCCGGCTGGCAGGGCCCCTTGAGGAGTGGAGACGAGCCGGTTTCTGCAGCATGAGCTCCTTGCCAACATTTACCCGGCAAAGCTGGGAACAGGGACCCACTGTGGATACTGAACACAGCCTAGTTCATCCCAGCAGCAGGATTCCCGGACCCTGCAGTCCCAGCCGCCCACCCCAGCAGCTCCCCACCACCAGCTGGGGGCTCTGGATTTAGGGCCAGTCTGTGCTCAAACCTCCCAGAAGCACCTTAGAATGGCAAATGCAATCCAACCCCACCCGAGTGGAGCCAAGAAACAGCGTAGGGACAGGAAGTCAGACATGGGGCGAAGGTGGCGAGTGGGAGCCAGTCTTCCTTGCCGCCTTCTATGGAATAGGGAGAGAGACATGCTCCCTACCATACTGGCAGGGAGGAGTTCTGAGGGGACAGGCCACAGACCATCCCCACAGTGCTGATAAGGGGAGACCCAGGTGGCTGGGAAAAGGTATGCCTCCTCCTGCTGGGATCTCTAGCCCCACTGCTCTGGCTACTTTGGGATGCTGCCCAGTCTCCCCATCTCCCCTCCTGTCCCACACAGGCTCTTGGCCCAATTCTCCCCCACTGACAGCCCTGATCTGGAGCGCTTCATGCCCACTCTGCACAGGGATACATGCACCACAGGGCACCAGATCCTCTGGGCTGGGGGCCTTTCCCTGCCTGGCACTGCAGCCTCCCACCCACCTCTGATCTCCCACTCCATGCTCCAAGGCCTGGAAGAACCTGTACCTTCCCCAAGTGAAAACCAAATGTGCCTTCCCCACTCACCCCTGGCTCCTTGGCAAAGGACCTGCCAGGGGAGCCAGATGTGTCAGTGTCACACAGCTGGAGGGAGCACCACCACAAAAACAGATTGCACAGCACCACCCATCCTGGCACAGGACACCACACATTCAGCCCCCCTTCACTCCATCCCAATGCACCTATCACCACTATATCTAGACAGCAAGCAATGTTTCCTAGTGCTGCGGAACCAGCAGCAGCCAGGACTGCACCGGGAGGTGCCTGGGGAAGCCGAGAGCACAGAAAACAGCCCATTACATCGGGGTGCCCATCTGCTTGGCAGCTCACAAAAATAAGTTTGTCATCACGTTCCGAACCTACCACTGGGCACAGCGCTGGATAACACATTGCCCAAATGCTTCTCCTAACACGATCAGCAGCCAGAGAGCCAACGACCATCCGTCAGCATTAGGGTCCAGAGTCAACACTCTGCCAGGGCTGCTCCCACCTCTCCACATGGCTGTCTCCAGCTCTTTCGCAGCAGATTCAGCCCAGTCACTCAAATGGGCAATCACCTCCCCCCATGCTGCACGGTGGGCAGAGGTCAGGCCGACCAAGCTCCCACAGCCTAGCAGAGCAGGGACACCAGGGAACTAGCAATAAAGCCAGGGGCATCACATGCCACGCAGGTCGCAGGGGTTTGAACCAAGGGCCAGGGGCAGCAGGAAGGCCCCACCGCAGCCAGCCCAGCAGCACCTTTGGGGGCTGATAGCCACTCTGCTACATTTCGGCCACGGGACACAGCAACCCCAGCTACTGGATGTGGCTGATCCCAGCTGGGGCCTGCAAATGCCAATCCCTGCAGGCAGTCTGGCAGCATGTCATGCAGCATCTCCCAGAGCCCCTGGCCTGGCGCCCAGGCATGGGGCACTGACAAGCTGGTATCGGCTAATTATAAGAATGTGGGAGACCAGAATGCCGCCAGCCACTAGGAGCCTTTTATGGCCAGGCTGGTACGTGCACTTATCTCTGGCTGCTCACTCCAGGCTGGAGGCTAATCCCAGTGACTCATGGAGCCTGCACAAGCCCAGGGGGTCCCTGAGACTACTCCAGGCCTCATCCCCTGGGTAAATGGGGAGTTAGGTTATGCTGGGATGAGCGAGGTCAGAATCAGTCCTGAGGTTGGTGCTGCTTCATGTCCCCACCCCCACCCCGCAATGCACAAGGGTCAGGGGAAGCGGGGCTGGGAAGCTCAGCAGAGTCCCAACCAGAGGATGCATGGCCGGTCTGTGCCCAGGGAGGCTGGACCTACCGAGGCAAAGCCAAGGCATTTCCGGAGTCCGGCAGCACCCCTCCCCAGCTGCTCTGGGGCCCGCCTGGGCGGGGTTGGGGCTAGGGTCCCAGTGCGTGGGGTCTCTCAACAGCCCAATGCCAAATGCCAGCTGGGAGCAAACCCTGGGCCAGAGCAGATCAGCACCATGCTGCATGCCCACGCACCCCAGAGCGCCAGGCCTGGCGTCGGGCTGCTGCAGCCGGTGACCCCAGTGAGGGCTTAACCCCGGCCAAGAGACAGCGGCGCCAGAGGCCTGCCTGGGTAACACCAGTGACCAGACCGCCCCAGCCACAATCCTCCCACCAGCTCCGTGCCCGGCTCTCCCCCGCTGCGGGAAAGCCCAGCCCGACCGTTCCGACGTCCCGTGTCCCGAAGAAGCTCAGACACGCGTTGGGGTTAGGGCCGCGGGCGCACCGCGCGCTAGGGCGGTCTCACCCCCCGGCCGGCAGCCCCCCCCCAGAATCGTACCCGGGGAGCGCCCCTTCCCCGGCCCGCAGCTGGAGCATTTCCCACCCTAACCCGCCGGCCGGGCGCTCCCTGCAGCCGGCTCCGCTCCAGGCGCGCCGGGCCCCCCGCCGCTGGATGCCCCGGGCAGGCGGCAGGCAGACAGACCCCCCCAGCCCTGTCCCCCGCAGCCGGGGCAGCGCCGCTGGGACGGGACGGGCCGATCCCCCCACCCCGCACGGCGGGCGCAGGTGCCCGGGCTGCGCGAGCCCCTGGCCGGGCCGGGGGCGCGTGGGCAGCGCGCGCGGGGCTGGCACTGACCTGGCTCCGAGCTCCCTCCGGCCGCGCCGCGCCGGGAGCAGGTTCGGGCGGCTGCACAGGTGGGACAGGGGCAGGCGCGCCCCGGTGCACGCTGGGAGCTGTAGTTCTCCCGCGCAGCGAGCTGGGACCCGCGGTCCCGGGGCTCCCGTGGCCAGGGCGGGGCGGCCTGTGTCCTGCGTCTCATCCAGGGCAGGGTGAGATCTGCGGGGCAAAGACCGGCTCTGCTCTGGTCTGTGCAGCGCCTGGCGCTCGGGGGGTCCAGCCTGGAACGTCCAGGTGACTCCTCTGTGCAGGGGGATCCCAGGGGCAGGGACGGACTCTGTGCTGGTTTGTGGAGCCCCTAGCGCGCTGGGGTCTGAGTGACTGGTCTGTGCAGGGGGGTGACAGGGGCAGGGACCAGCTCTGTTCTGGTTTGTGCGGGACCTACTGCTCTGGGGTCTGGGTGACTAGTCTGTGCAGGGGGGGGGTCCTAGGAGCAGGGACGGGCTCTGTTCTGGTTTGCGCAGCACCTAGCGCACTGGGGTCCATGTGGCTGGTCTGTGCAGGGGGGTTCCTGGGGCAGAGACTGGCTCTGTTGTAGTTTGTACAGTTCCTAGTGCAGTTGGGGTCCAGGTGACTGGTCTGCGCAGGAGGTTCCCCGGGGCAGGGACCGGCTTTGTTCTGGCTTGTGCAGGACCTAGCATGCTGAAGTCTGGACGACTGTTCTCTGCAGTGGGGTTCCCAGGGCAGAGACCAGCTCTGTTCTGTCTGCAGAGCACCTGCAGTCCAGGACCACTGCTCTAGCCCCCTGAGCTATGGAGCCCCTGCCCAGGTCCCTTCGGTAGAGGGAGGTTAATGCTGAGGAGAGATGAGCTATCAAGGAACGAGTGACAAGCCACCAGTGAGGAGATACCAAATCTGAGGCAGCTACCTAGGCCCCGGCAAGAATGGAGACAGTGACCCATGTAGTCCAAGACCACTGCTCCAACCCCCTGAGCTACATCTGGTCTAAGACTCTAGCAATTTTCAACTCACAACCTCACACTTAAAATAGCAGCACTGTAACCACTTAGCAAAAAGTTTAACAAGTGACAATGTTTAAAGAGAGGAGATTGCCTATTTGGCCAAGCCTTGTTGGGAAGTCTTACCCTTGAATCAACAGCATTTCTCTGTTAGTCTGTCTGCATTGGGGCAGGGGTGATAACATGTCCTGATGGATTCATTGTGTCAAGGGGGAGGTGATGATTTTCATTCTCAAACACAATGCACAAAACAGGAATCAAACCTCAGTGAGTGTCGACTAAACAGCCACTCCCAAGTTCTTTCAGCCAGAAGGGGCCATTTTGTATCTTTCACAGAGTGACTGGGTGGCCTGTGGCAGTGTTACCCAGGGTTTCAGAACCCAAAGCAGGGGTAGCTGAACTGTTTCTCTCCAGGTGGTGCCAGGAATAAATCAGTGGGGACACAGCTCTGCCATCTGATGAATGATTGATACAAACCAGAGTGCTTTCACCTAAAACTACATTTAATAGGTCCCGAGCACGCGCGCGCACACAGATATATGCAACAGGTTCAGAGCATCAATGTGACGCAGCAGGGAGGGGGGAGTGTTGACCTGGGAGTGTGGCAGGGGAGTTTCACTGGGGATGGGAGACCTGAGAGCCTGTCACCTGAGCCGGGAGGGGGAGGTAACACCTCTGCCCGGGAATGTGGACAGAGGCTGCAGGAGAGAACCTGCTGGGGGGGGTGGTTAGTTTCAGTTTGGCGCTGGGTAGCGGAATGCAGGGAACCCCAGGGCTGGCGTCTAAGCTCCCTTCTCCCCCAGAAGGACTTGGCTGAGGGGTCCTGGGTGTACCCACAAGCTCTGTTTGGGACTGTGTTCCTGTTATCCAATAAACCTTCTGTTTTACTGGCTGGCTGAGAGTCACAGTGAATCCCAGGAAGAGGGGTGCAGGCCCCGGACTCCCCCACACTCCGTGACAACTGGTGGTAGCGGTGGGATCTACTGCACCCCGTGAACGGCGCTTCCTGCAGTAAGTGACTGGGGAGCAGTAAAACGAAGGGGGATTGACAGGGACCAGGTGTGCTGAAGATTCAGAGAGAGATGGTTTCAGGGGGCGGTTAACCCCTGGGAGTGTGTGACCAGTGAGAAGGACTTTTGCAGTAACAGGGTCCCCCAGGGGATTGCAGCGAGCGGTCCCAGGGCGGAGGAGTCTGCAGCTCGACCCTGGCAAAGAGGTGGTGACCTCAAGAAGGACTGACACCCTAGGGGTTCTTCCTGGAAACCGTGGAAAGCTGCCCAGGCCTGCGAGTGGCCAGCAGGGAGATGTACGTTAAATGCTGTAAGAGCGACCTGGTGGAGCTGTGCAGGCAGAGGGAGCTGCGCATTGGGAGGTCCACCAAGGAACAGCTGATTGTCCAGTTGGAGGAGAGGGATCGCTTGGATGACCTGATCCCTGTCCCTGAGGGAAGCTGCCTGGTGGATGCAGCGTGGGCCCTGGGGCCTGACTGGGCTGGGAGGGGTCAGACTGCTGCCGAGGACATCCCGAGACCCTTCCTACCTATGCCTGGGGGAGGGGTTGGGGGAAGCCCAGCGAATACCGAGGGCACCCTGACCCCGGCAGCCAGCAGGGGATCCTCCTGGCAGAGCTCCCCATCCCATCAGGCTACCTGCCTGCCTGTAACCACACCCGTGGGGTTCCCCACCCCCTTGCACACCGGACAGGGGGCTCATGCTGGCTCTGATGCAGTGAGGAAAGCAGCGAGCTCGCTGCTACCCCACTGGGACAGCAAGGGCAGCGCTGAGCACAGTGGGAGCTGAGACCCCAGCAGAGGGGTGGGGGGAGACACAGGCAGGGCAGGGGATCTGTTGGGAGTGGCAAGGTGCTTGGTAAGGAAAGTTTGGATGAGCCTGGGCAGCCTTGTGAGCTGATGGCTTTGTCTAGTCAGCAGGGTGGGAAGGCGAGGAGAGTGGAAGACGAGTGTCCCTGGACCTTACCTGTTAGCTGGGTGGAGAATTGGGACAGTGAAGGAAACGTGCCTGTGTCTGTCAGGGGTATTGACTTGCCTATGGAGGGAGCTACCCTGATCTCCAAGCAGTTGTCTGTCACCAGCCTTGTGTGCGGGACAAGGGGAAAGAGATCCCAAGCTGTGTGTCTGGGAAAGGAGAAAGTGTGTCCGGCTCTTCTTTGTTTGTGGAGCAGACAGAAGGGGCCTTTCAGCCTGCGATGGTTGAAGGTAGTGCAGTTGTCTCAGAGCTGGTTCTGGTTTCAGTTAAAGCCCAGGAAGGGAATGGCCCTAAGTTTGTGTCTGCTCACGAGAATGGCCCTGTAACTAGGTCGCATCCAGTTAGTGTCTATGTAAAATCCCAGAGACCAGACAATTCGGGTGCTTGTATTTTGCCTGTTGCTAGTGTGTTGTTGAGAAAGGAATGTCTCCATGCTAATTCTGTAAGTGAACAGTATGTGGCCCAGGTCAAAATGGGGGCTCTTAACCAAGAGAGCCCAAATTGCAGCCCTCCAGACTGGAGCGCTGGGAGAAGACCCGATCCCAGTTTGACCCCCGGGGATTTTGGGGTGGCCAAAGGGCACAGGCGGCATAAACCTTCCCACATGCGGCCTGCGAGTACTATCAACCACCCCCGACCTAAGGGAGGGCGTGAAACTGGAAGGGCCTGGTGTAACTCCCACCAAGGAACGGGAGAGATGCTGGGGCATCCATGGGAACGTTGGTGGCTTCAAACTTCCCCAGGTCACTGGCTAAAGTGACCCCGCTCAGTTCGATCTCAAAGCAGGGAGAGATGTGACGTAATGGGACTATTCTGAGCTCTGGAACTGCTCCCCATGAAGCCAGTCAGGACTCTGGGGAAGTCTCCTTTCTGGGAGCAGACTGTCTGCAGGACACACAGCTCACACAGCTTCCACCTTCCTGGGTCTGACCTCGGAGCATTCAGCCTCCTCTGCCCCTCCTTGCGCTTCCCACAGTGAGTCCGCCCAGGCGGGGTCCTGGGGAAGCCAGAGGTCCTGCACCCCAACTTCGCAGACAGACGTGACTCTCAGCCAGCCAGTAAAACAGAAGGTTTATTAGATGATAGGGACATGGTCTAACACAGAGCTTGTAGGTGCAGAGAACAGGACCCCTCAGCCGGCTCCATTTTGGAGGGCAGTGAGCCAGACAACCCCATCTGTACTTCACTCCATGTCCCCAGCCAGCCCCAAATTGAAACTCTCTCCAGCCCCTCCTCCCCTGGGCTTTGTTCCTTTCCCGGGCCAGGAGGTCACCGGATTCCTTTGTTCTCCATCCCTTTAGCTCTCACCTTGCAGGGGGGAAGGGCCAGGCCATCAGTTGCCAGGAAACAGGGTGTTGGCCATTCTCTGTGTCCAGACCTCTACACACACCTGCCCTCTAGGGCTCTGCAAGGATCATACACTCTTATCCCACTACCTAGATACTTAAGAACTGCATAGGGGAAACTGAGGCACCCCCACACTATTCAGAGGAAACATTAAGAACAGTCCCGCTTCATCACACCCATCATAGAGGAACCTTTCCAGAAGGTGGCCATGGACATAGTGGGACCTCTCAGCAAGACGACCTGGTCGGGAAAGAAATACATTCTGGTGGTGGTAGATTTTGCCACCTGCTACCCTGAGGCAGTGCCCTTAGTTTCCACTGAAGCAGACACCGTGGCAGATGCGCTCCTGACCATTTTCAGCCGAGTGGGGTTCCCCAAGGAAGTCTTGACAGACCAAGGATCCAACTTCATGTCGGCCCTGCTCCGGTGCTTGTGGGAGAAATGTGGGGTCCGGCACGACTGGGCCTCAGCTTATCACCCCCAGTCCAATGGGCTGGTGGAGAGGTTCAATGGGACGCTAAAGATGATGCTGAAAACCTTTATGAACCAGCACCCGCAGGATTGGGACAAGTACTTACCTCACCTGCTGTTCGCGTACAGGGAGGTACCCCAGGAGTCTACCAGATTTTCACCTTTCAAACTGTTATATGGAAGGAGGGTAAGGGGCCCCCTGGACCTGATGAGAGACGAATGGGAGGGGAAGACCACTCCCAATGGAGAGTCAGTGGTGGAGTATGTCCTGATCTTCCAAGAG